GGTATTTCAATCAATCTTAGCACCTAACATTATTTGTTATGTTATTATTCTCTAGGTACTTTTCTGGTGGTCACAGTTCTAATTGCAAAAAATTGATGGAGTATCTTTCGATTTAGGGAGAGGGAGTCATCCAGTGAGTTGCATGGGAAGATATTGATTGGTGGCACATCCTTCCTAGAGAAATATGGCGGCAGAAGACGTCGTCCTCCCGGGACGGGTTTTGGCAATGCTAATTTGTTCTATTGAAGGTTCTAAAATTCATTTGTCCAGGGATTGGGACAAAGGAGCGGATAAATATCATATGTTATTGGACGAGACCGGTTAAATTTTTTGCTACAAACACTATAACCTGCGATGGTGGTACCACGAAAGAGCCAGGTGAGTTTGGGGAGTTTTTATTTTATGTTGGTATTAAAAGTAATCATCTGATTCTCTTAGTTATATTCGTTATTTCTATTTGTGGCAGGAAATGTTGTTTGTGTTCATCTAAAGTTACACTATTATGGGGAGAAAATTTGCCTCTTCAGATGAAACTGATGGGTCGTTTGATAACATTGATATAAGGAAAAAGGATTCACATACCTCCCAGGCAAGGAGCAATATGGGTTCTGGTATAAAAGCATATAGTTTTAACTTGCAAGGTTAATTTATCTTTCTCCTGATACCTTCCCGAGTTACGCATAGTTAATTGTTGTTTTTATTTTTGATGTCCTGCTCCATTCTAGCCGATTTCAAATTATTTACGCTCTGATTTCTGGATTTCAAAGATTGGAAACGGAATAAATTGATCATTTTAGGGGTTTGGATTCGAATTTAAGATGTGCTTGTGCTGCAATATTGCATTTGAGGTTATGGATGATTGTATTATGTATTTGATTTGATATAACCTAATTTTTCCATTTGCAGCTGTAATTGGAGCTTAAGCTGTGACGAGAAAATCTCCTGCTGGTGTTTTATAAAGGAATTTGATTCAATAAAGCTTAAAGTTTAGCAATGGTATAGTTTCAATGCCTGGACTAATAAGCACTTTCCCTGTCAGGTGTCCTTTGGATTTGTGGTTTTCGTGTGGTAGTTAACTAGCATTTTTCGTTTTCCTCTAAATTTCATAATTGGAGTTTTTAAACCGTCGTGAAACGTTTCAGTTACATTTTCAGATGAAAAAATCATAGAAACAGGTAGACGGTAGACTTTCTATTGTTTCATCAGTTTAGCTTTGTGAATTTCTTTCCAGCTGAATTTAAACAGTCGTAAGCGTAGATTGACTGAGACCTTTTCCGGAACCGTTAAGTATTCTTATTGATTTTCTCCTGGAATATTTTTCTGTTAGTGTTTGCATCTGTCTGTATGACCTATCATATCAGCAAGTGAAACTTGTAAATTGTAATTATAGATTCATGTATTAATTTTGACATTGGGATGAAGTGAATGATGAGTTTGTTGATAAATATTATATGACAAGCCTTCTGTTAATGGTTGTATAATTGATCATTTGTGTCTGAATTCTGTTAATGGTTGTATAATTGATCATTTGTGTCTGAATTCTGATGGTGTTTATGTTGGTAATTAATAGTTTGTTGATTCTGTTATGTTAGGTGTGTAGTCACTTTATTCTTAATTTGAATGGCTGAATAGTTCACTAAAATTAATTTGTTCCTGTCATATTATCATTGAGTTAATCCACCATGTGTTGGCAAAATTTGAGTTGTTGATTTCGGTAATATTATAATGAGAAGATTACATGATGGAATAGAAAGAATTGCGTTTAATATTGTGCCGACAAAAAAAAAAAGATAAAAATAAAAACATTAAGATTTTTGTTAATTGGTAAATATCTAATTTCTAATGGATTGATGTTAAATGTCATAAAATACAAAGCTCTATTTTTGCATTAACCATCTATTAGCCATCTATTTTACAAGTTACCACAATTGTCACATTTTCGCATCAACATAGGTTGGTTCAACAACAAAGCTGTTGTAACATAATACAACGTTAAAACACATATTATCAGTATTAATATAAGGTGCGTATGTGTATTTAAATTTCCCTAAATATTAATTATAATTATACACTGAACTAGAGCCGGCTGTGCACGAACGACCAACTAGTAATCTCAATAAAAAATGGCTGAATGGTCGTGTTTGCCAGCTATCCAGCGTGTGTTCATTTACTAGAAAAGGCACAGTGCTCCATTTAATTTCTTTAAATAAATAGAATGAAATTGGCAATCTACATATCCCAGTTCAGAGGAAGACTTGTAAATAGATTGAAAATGGCAATCTTCTCATCCCATTTTATTTCCTTACAGACAGAAAAGCTCAAGTGGGCACGCACACGCAGCACCAAAAACACACCAACCAACACCCTCAAAAAATGCACCTATCATTTACTTGAGACAATTTTATATAAGTAAACAAAAAATTGGTTAGCTCTCTTCTGGCCATTTCCAACCACACCACTCCTTTACACAATAAAAAGAGCACAAAACGGCTTCAAACGATCATATCCTCTATTGTCTCCCTTCTTCTCTTCATTTCCAACCCCAGCAACTCAGCCATCTCATATATCTCGTGAGACAGTGGATGAGATTTGTCCCCCGAGGAGAACCCGTGCAAGCAACCTGAACCACCAACATCCGCCCAACTGAACCCCACCTCCTTGGACACCTCTCTCTCCCTCATCATCCTCCTCACCTTGGCCGCCCTCTCCCACTTCCCCTGCTCCGCAAAAAGGTTCGACATCAACACATACGACCCCGACCCACCGGCCTCCATCCCCATCAGGGCCTCCGAAATCCTAATCCCCATCTCCACATTCCCATAAACCCTACACGCCCCAAGAAGGCTCTGCAGCACCGAAACCCCGGGCACACCAGGAATCCGGCCCACAAATTCCTCGGCCTCCTCCAGTCGGCCCGCCCGGCCCAACATATCCACGACACACGAGTAATGCTCGGCGCACGGCTCGACCGAGTGCTCGGTCACCATCGACCGGAATATCGCGATTCCCGAGTCAACTGTCCCACTGCGGGCACATGACGTAAGGACGGCGAGGAACGTGATCGAGTCGGGCCTCACACCTTCCGAGACCATCTTCTCGAAACACTCCATAACCGAGGCATGGTCCCCGTGCCTCGAGTGGGCAGAGAGGATGGCTGTCCACGCTACCTGGCTCTTTTGTGCCAGCTCGTCAAAGATTTTGCAGGACTCTTGTATGCTCCCACGCTTTGCGTACATGTCGAGGAGAGCGCCCGACAAGACTGGGTCCCGGTCGAGCCCGAGCTTGTGTATGTAGCTATGGCACCTTTGGCCTTGCCTAATCGAAACGGACTCGGATGAGGAAATCGCGCTTAGTACACTGCCAAACGTGTAGGCGTTTGGGAGCAGTTCATTTGAGGCCAACCAGAACGCGTGGAGAGCTTCTTGGTACATACCGTTGTGAGTGTAGGCAGATATGAAGGCATTCCACGTTACGATATCTCTGCACAACCACCCGATTTCTTCGAAAACCTTAATACAGTCGTCCATTAGTTTAAATTTGCCGTACATGGTTATGAAGCTATTGGCCACGTGGGTTTCGGAAAGAAAGTTTGACTTTATGCAAAATCCGTGGACCGATATGCCTTGTCTTATCATGTTGTGCTCTGTTACGGCATGTACTAATCCCACGAACGTGACGTCGTTCGGGTGCACTTGGCGTCTCGTCATCTCCCGGAACAAATTAACAGCGTCCTCTTCGTCTATGGAGAGCATGGTTGTGAAGGACACCACATTAGGGTTGGCTATGTTCTTGTAAACCAACCGCGCGTCTTCTCTGTTCCCACACTTGGAATACATCGACATCAAGACATTGCAAACCGAGACGTGAACGCCGTATCCTCTTTTAACCAAGAAAGCGTGAGCTTGTTTCCCAAATTCCAAGTCCCTCACGTGGCCGCAGGCCGATATTACGCTGGTGAATGAGGTGTGATCGGGCCATAGACCCCTTCTAACCAACTCAAGGAATCCCGAGAGAGCTTCTAGCCGCTGGCCTCCCTCCTGGACGTATCCCGAGAGGATTGCGTTCCACGAGATCAAATCCTTTTGGGGAATTTCATCAAATGCTAAACGAGCGTCTGCTATCATGCTGAATTTGGAATACAATGTCACGAGTGCATTCCCGACGAAAGTCTCGGTCTTCAGCCCGGACTTCAACGTCAGACAATGCAGTTGGAATCCAAAATCGAACTCGAGGCCGTTTGTACAATGAGCAAGCACGGTAGTACAAGTCACCGCATCAACCGGGACCTCTGCCGAATGCATCTCACAAGCAAAAACGAGCGCATTTATGTGATTTTCAAAGCCAGAGAGCACCGTGTTGTAAGAAACGGTGTCTGGGTTCTTTGCGTGCTCGAATATACGCAGAGCTGTCCCAAAGTCGTCCGACTTGCAGTACATGTTCATCAAGGAATTACACACGGAGACATATGCCGTGAAACCAGAAACAACGGCAAAACCGTGAACTTGAGGGCCGAGTTTCGGGCGGCCAATGCAGGCCTTGGCAGCAAGTGCAATGTCTGATTCATCGACTTCGGTGAGGTGTCTCTTGAAAAGAGAGATTGCTTCAGCCTGGCGATTTTGATGAATGAGATTGAGCATGAGACGGGTGATGGACGGTGGCTCGGGAATTTCATCGAGCAGGTGGTGTCCATGATAGAACGAGCAAGAGATGCTATTTGGATGCTTCGATCTGAGCAAGAATTTTTTTGGAAGGTGTTGAAGATTGAGCTGTCGAATGATCATGAGAATCGAAGCCTAATGATTTGAAAGAAATCAGAAATCTAAGTGGAAAGAGGAAAGGCAGGCCGATGGATAGCTAGGGACATTATAACTTATTTTGAGGGCGACTAACCTCAAATGTATGAATATGATAACGTTGTTTTTAATTTATGCCCCTTTGGATGTAGAAGTTACGAACGACTAGTGAATCGCCAAAAAAATAAAAAAATTAATTAATAAATAAATAAAAATAAAATAAAAAGGAACTACAAGATTGCGCTCTGCTTAAATATAAGGTATGAGTGTATTGAATTGAGAATTTTAAAATGTTTTAAAATTTTAGAAATGCTGATTTATTTTATCCAGACTTTTCAAGATTTTAATAAATCTTGACAGTCCTTTAGTCATTAGATTAGTGCGGTACTCTATGCGATGCACAAGCTAGTTTTATTAAGATAAATATTTAAATTTGGATGATTGAAAGAACGTAAAACGCGTGTATTAGAATAAAATAAAATGTAACTTATACATTATTAAACACATCCTTGTACACAACATTATTTGTTTAATTTTTTGGCACATTGTCTATCGCATTGCATAGCCATTTATAACAGAGATTGTAAAACATCTTTCTTGATAATCTATAGTATAACACCCCGCTTAATACGTTAAAAAAAAAAAATCAAAGTAAATTTCTCGCTTTTCAAAACTAATAATAAAACTCAGGATATTCTTTTTTCTCTCTTCATTATAATCAAATTGAAAATACAGTTTTGCTATGGAGCAATCGGATGGCTCGGCTTATGGAGCAATCCATACTTATTCACCAATAGTGTATTGACACGTGTCTTACAATAAATACAATTTGAACAGGTGTCAATATATTAAGCAATGAATGGCTTCATAAGAAAACAATCCGATTGCTCCATAGAATTTTTGATTGAAAATATTGATTTAAAACTTAACCTAAATATTTATGATCAAATCATTGTCTGAAAAAATTTAAACTCTATCACACATTGGGATAGATTAACATCCTAAAATACTGGTTCATGGAATATTTGACTTATGAAAATAAAAAGATAGCGGAAACGTAATTTGGTTCATTGTAAGTCATTATTAATACATAACACATGAATATTCTTTATTTGCCATTACAGTTTGACCACTTCCACCTTGCTCAGCCTGAACGCTCAACTCCATTTATTGAAATGGCATAATATAAAGGGAAATGAGTACATCATAATGGTACTCCGTGGAAAATCCAACATAACATTCATAATAATTATGACATTAAATAAACTGACATATATGCATATAATTGAATTAACTAGCATATAAACATAAATAAACTTCTTTATGCTTTCGGACACTTGGCCGATATCGTTTGCACACTCTAATTGTAGAGAACACACTCGGGTTCCATCAGAACCAGGCTTAAGGACACTTGGCCTTTATGTAACGCCCCACTTTTATTTGACGAAAATTAGAATAATTTTTTTTAAAAAAAATTATTTCAAAATACTTGTGGCGCTACTCATTTCCAAAATAATTTCCAATCATATCATAAATGGATCTCCCAAACGGGTTCAATAATCAAGTCAACACCCAAACCGGGTTCATCAATTACATCAACTCCCAAAACTTGGTTACTCAAATTCATAAATACTAGGGAGTACACTCCCTATCAATCATCCAGTTCTCAACATAAATCAGAAGTTCATCAAATATTGCTAAGCGGTTCAAAGCAGCGGAAATAAAAACAGCAATATGACCACCACTTGTCTCCCTCTGTCGTGCCAACAAACACTAACCTGCTTCCATGAAGAGCATGTGGGGGTGAGCACAAAAGGAAACAATAGTACTCAGCGCTATGCAATAAATGTTAATCACAATAATCAACAATAATCAGTAATCGAAAGGTATGGTCTCAACATGTATACGAAGAAATAATCTATCCCATCTCCCATCAATAATCAATAATCAAGCTCATGTGCACACCTATATCAATAGACTACTGCTCACTATATAGGGAAAGCCCCCCGGACTTACATCGAGTGCCAGCCAGTAGGAGTTACCCCCGTCGGCCGAGCACCGCCCTGACTCACAATGGGGAACAGACGAGCACCGCTCTAGTCTCATACTTTTGACCGAGCACCGCCCCAGTCTCATGCCTCGACCGAGCACGACCTTGGTCTCATAGGCGCATAGGGGAGATTACCCTAACGGGGTCCGTTCTATAACTAGGGGGATAACCGTTCATCGGCCGATGCAGCTCACATCGAAGGCTACATGTTCCACATGCATACTTTGATCATACCACAAGTAAACAATAACAACGGTAATAATATTTACAGCATAGCCAATTTTAAAATAAAACCCACCTGGTGCCGGATGATAAAGCAAATTAACCAGAAAGTCATAGGCGATTGAGACACTGCTCGTCTGACACCTACATAAGTCAAGACAGTCCCATAAGCAACTATCTCGACTCTATACAGACAACGAGAATTATACTTAGTCGAATCTTACGACTAAAAAACTCGTGGAAGTTGTGGAGTTGGAACATTAGGATGACTCCTAGACAAGATCAATCAATTGTTACATTATATAATAGCAGACAATGAAGGTTTGACATAAAAACGATGTCAAAAGATCAAGGGTTTGCCATCAAAACCAACTGGTCCCAAAAACGGTTAAAAAGGACTAGTTCAAAGTTATAAGAATGGGACCATAAGGAGTCAGGCTTGGACTTTTCAATTACATTTTTACATCATATAAAATATTGAAAAACACACATCTTCACCAAAGGAAAACCCCTAAACATGCTCCTAACCATTTTAAATAATTTAAGCAAAATTTGACTAGAAATCGAATTAAATCATTTAAAATAGCTACAGTCCTAATTTTACTTTGAAATTTTTATAGAACCAAGATATTATGAACAACAGCGACATATTCAAAAATTATCCATTTTAGACGAGAATTCAATTTTTTATGAATTTATTAAGAAATAGCCCAGAAATAGTTTTCGTGTTTGATGAGGCTACAGGCCGTATAAACATCTAAAATTTTAACTACAAGTAACATAACATGAACATAACCACATATACAAAAATCAGAATTTTTGGAATAATACACGAATTATAGTGGTTTTAGCAAAATCGGGCTGCAGCATGATTTCCAAAAATTCATATCTTACAATGTACATATCGAAACGACACAAGGCCAAAGCCGTTGCATCAAGGACATTCCTAAGTCCAATAATCCACCGCATATCCACAGAAAATACTACATTAACCTTAGTTCGACAGTTTTTCAAAGTGACGACAATCACTTTGATATCCAACGGCAAATATATATATATCAAAATTCTCACAATTACTTATCTAACGCACGTAATTAGTTCAAAACTCAAACGTTCAGCACATTAACATGTAGTATATCTCAATAACATAATCATATACCAAAATCAGTAATTAAGCACACAATAAACTCATATAACAAGAACATATATAAACTCATATAACAAGAACATATATAAACATATTCGAAAAGGATGGGGAAAATCAGTCCGGGTACCATTCTCGGGTCGGGGACACGCGAAAGGGGTGAGCTGAGGCTGAAGTGGACTACCCGGGGAGGCTCGAAAACTTCGTTTGGCTCGCTGACGGAACACGAAAAGCGGGAAAGAAACAAGGGGCAGCCGTTGAGCACGTGGGACGCACGAACAGCGGGAACAGGACATGCGTACGTTCAACGACGTTGGTAGTGGATGCATGGCTCAACGAGAGTGGCGATGGTGCTCTTGGTCGGTGCCGAAACCTCGAGAAGGCTCGCCGGCGGGCTGGTGGAATAGCATCGGCGTGAAGGATGGCCTGCTAGTTGATCGAACGCAGAACTACATGCTGCAGGACGTGGGTTTGACCCTGGTTGCAAGGAAGTGTTCATCGGGTTGTTGCTTGTTGTGGCAGGGTCGCCGGAAAATCTAGAATTTTGGTTGTTTGCGGTGGCAGTGGAGAAACAGCGGGCCGCCGGGCTCGTTGGTACTGATTGCCGAGGGTGAGGGCAGCGACAACTTTGAGAGAGTGGGGCCGCGATGCCCGGGGTCTGCAAGTCCACCGGGACTCGCGATGATTGGTCCTTGACGACGAGGAACAGCAAGGTCGGAGGTGATGGAGGGTGGCACGCTCGGAGTTGTAGGCTGCAGCGAATTGCGATGGGGTCTGCGCGATGATAATAGAGATGACTGATAATGGTGACGATCGATGATGGCGATGATTATGGTGGCGGACAGAGAGGGTGGTGAACGAGGGTGATGAGATGATTATCGGCACGAAAGAAAGAAAATCTTCTCCTCTGCTACGTTTGGGGAAATTGCGAGAGAAAGAGAGCAGAATGATGGTAGGGATTAGAAGATAAAAAGCTGTGGGAATTCTCTAGTGAGGGTTTTAACGAGAGAGCTAAGGGAATTAATCCCGTATATATAACATTAGGGTTAAGGACTCTAACCTAACAGTCAAGTAACAAAGAGAGAGGATCCAGTTCGGTTCGGCTCGAGACGCGCAGGCAATTGGTTCGGTCCAGAACTCGGTTCATCGATAAAATTAATTAAGGCTCGATTATGGACGAAAGATAAACAAAATAAAACTGGGATAATTATATATATATAACACATTTTTAATATTATTACTAATACTCAATTGAACACATTTTAATTACATATAATACACATACTGATTTATTTATTAATAGTAATAATAATAATAACAATGAATTAAACAATTAAGAGAAGTTAGACAATTAGCAACGACATTTATAATAATAATAATAATAGCAATAATCAAATAGGCAATTGGATAATAATAATAATAATAAAGACAATAAATAATAAATAACCCAATTATTCCATATTCAAACGGGGTATTACAGTCTATCGTCCTTAAAAAATTTCCATCCCCGGAAATACGAAAGAACACGCATCTAAAGGAAAACGACAAACTCGAAAAGCATACACTCACGTA